CAGAAAGAAAAGAAAAAAGAAAAAAGAAATGGTCTTGCTAAGTGGATAAATTACTCAGGCTGGGCTGAAACTTGCGGTCCTCCTTCTTCTGCCTCTCAGAGTGCTGGGTTTGTAGGTGGGTGCCACCACACCTGGCACCCCCAAGTTATTTTTTTAAAAGGGCTGGGATGTAGCTCAGCGACAGAGCCCTTGCCTAGCGTATGTGAGGCCCTGGGTTCGACCCCCAGTACTGCACAGCAGGGTTTCAGAAATGGGATGACGGGACTGTGGAACCTGCTGAGGTCGATCCCGTTTCTCCAACCTTGGCAAAGTAGTGCTGTGTGCTAGCACAGGTTCTTTAGCTTGGACAGTTCGTCTGCACTCCGAACCCCAGCACGGCCCATAGCCAAAGCTTCACCCACCTCCTCGCTGACCGCTGACGCCTGGGGGTGTCCAGCCTGCGGCAAAGGAAGAAAGGGGCGTGAGTGGCCCGAGCTCCACACCCCGTGACCCTCTCCGGAGATGAGCCCGAACACCAAGGAGAATGGGCTGTACGTGATCATGGTGGTGTTTTCCCTGGAGCTCCAAGTTGCTGTGCTCAGTACTGCTGGTGCTGTGCACAAGGTAACTGAAGGACACGTTCCTGAGATCAGCACCCGACTCTTTGGGTCCTCACCAGGACGCCCTACTCCCGGCTACCCAGGGCCTGTGGCACAGAGGGCTCCAGCCACCCTCAGCATGGCCCAGCCTCCAGCTTTCCCATAGCTTTCCAACCGAGCAAGCTGGCCTTGAGCTCACTTGGTAGCCCAGGCTGGTCTCCAACTAGCAATGATCCTCCTGCCTCAGCCTCCCAAGAGCTAGGATTACAGGCATGTGTCACCATGCCCGGCAAAACTGCTTTCTGAGTCTCCATGTGGCAGAAAGGGAAAAACTACAGCAGGATTTCTTCAAAGGCCAAGGCTAATCTCAGCGGCCCATCTTCTAGTTAGAGGCTGTGAAGTCTCTGAAGAAGGCTGTTCCTTGGTGTGGGGGCGTGTGCTTCCGGTGTGCGGGCGAACACATCCCGTGCACGCCCGTCTCGGGTTTGCCGCTTTCCTTGGAATTTAAACTCCGTGCAGGATCTTCTCAGGCGGTCTTTCTGTGTGGGCGCACCTTCGCGCACTCGCTCCTTGTCCCCGAACGTGCCCTCCGGGGTTCACGCGCTCTCTCTGCCGGTGCTCAGCAGCCCTGCGTGGGTCTTACCTTCCTCTTGGTGTCGCAGCTTCCGGATCGCTGGCCCCAAAGCCAAGGTGGTCTGTAGTCACAGTCCTGGCCTTTTCCTTTGGCACCAGGGCTTTTCTATCCTTCTCTTTAGGAGCAATTCTAGAGCTCAGCACCGAATCTATCTCACCTCATCCCCCGGACCTCAGTCCCCGCACCCTGGTTAAACACTGCCCCCTACACGTGCGACCCAGGAGCTGAGGGGAGGACTCACCAGAGGGGATGAGGAGCGCAGTGAGGAGCAGCAGCACCTTGTGCCCTGACAGCAGCATCTAAGAAGAAGCAGAGGGCGGAGTGTGACCCCAGGGCGCGGGTGTCCCCCCAAGGGAGCCCATCTCTGTCCTCCTCTGTGGTTTCTTCCTAAGACTCAAACCCTGCCTCTCTCTTATATTTCACTCAACGTTTTTTTTTCTCCCTCAGATCTATTCTTCTGTCACTTTCCATTATGGTCACTCTTTCCTACAAAGTCAGAGGATTTTTTTATTTATGTCTTGAGACAGGGTCTCACTGTGTTTCCCAGGTTCATCTCAAACTCCTGGGCTCAAGCAATCCTCCCGCCTCAGCCTCTTGAGTAGCTGAGATTACAGGAAGTACCATCATCACACCTGCATTCAGAGAGATGGGTATATTCTATCAGTTCTTTCTTACCGTACTAGGGGGCCTTTTCCCCCTTAGCGTCTAATCTTCCTTTCATGTGTGGTGTCTTTTTCACAGTGCCTAGTTTATCTTGCTGCCTCTATCATTTGAATTGCATGGATAATCGGGGCAGGGGTCTGCTCAGTTCTGAGTTAAGGCACAGTCCTCATTGCTTCTCCCCAGCGCTTGGCTGCACACACACACCCATGCCTGCACACGCACACACACCCATGCCTGCACACACACACATGCACACCCTCCGTCTGTCTGGGTTTTAATCCGGACTCACCCTCTCCGCGCCCTGTTCCGTGCTGAGCCCTGTGCTGCCGCCTGCGCCGCCGTCCTCCGCGCTCTGCTGCACCCCGGGCTGGGGACTGCGATGAGCGGCCCCGCCCTGGGCAGGACTTGGACTTGGCCTCCTCTGCAAGAGTGAGACAGACGGGAGAGCGAGCCAGGCCGGAGGCGCAGAAGGCAGCGTTACAGAGGCCGCTGGAAGGAGTGGAATGCAGAGCCGCTCACGCCCCGCTCCAGAGGGCTGACCGCACCGGCCAGGGGTGCGCCCTGCGTGCCGGCCTTCCCCCCACGGACCCCCCCATGCCCCCGTGCTCGCTGGCCCGGCCGTCCCCTCCACCCCGGGCTCCTTTAACTTAATGGTCTGGGCATCACCAAACTTTGTTCCCGGCTCTCTTCCCCACCCCGCCTCTTTTCTTCTTGTGGCAGGGTCTCATTATTAGTGCAGGCTGGCCTCAGACTCAGAATGATCCTCCTGTCTCAGGTGGTCTGTAGTCACAGCCCTGTCCTGTTCCTCTGACACCAGGTTCCTCTCCATCTCCTGGGCTCAAGCAATCCTCCTGCCTCAGCCTCTTGAGTAGCTAGAACAGGAAGCACCATCATCACACCTGCACTCAGAGCATGCTGGGGTTACAGGTGTGTGCCACCACGCTCGGCATTCTCCCCTTTTTTTGAGTCAGGGTCTCACTTGGTAGCCCAGGTCAGCGTTGAACTTGTGGCGATCCTCCTGCCTCAGCCTCTCAAGTGGAATGTGTCAGCATGCCTGGCTCCTTCCTCCACATCTGAATCATTCCTCTGTTCCCTTCTCGCTGTTTTTCTTTCTCTGCCCTGCCTCCCCAACACCCTTTTTTTTTGGTACTGGGGTCAAACCCTTTGCAATGAACAGTATCCCCAACTCTTTAATTTTTGAGACAGGCTCTCACATAGTCTCTAAATTGCCCTGACCGGGCTCAAATTCGCAGTCCTCTTGCCTCAGGCTCCCAGAGCTCTGGGGTACAGGGAATGTGCTATCACACCTGGCAGGCTTTCTTTTCTTTCTTTCTTTTTTTTTTTTTTGTTTGAGACATGACCTCACTATATGTAGTTCAGGCTCAGGTTGGCCATGAACTGACTCCCTTTATAGCCCAGGTTGGCCTTGAACTTTCAGTGATCCTCCTGCCTCAGCCTTCCAAGTGCCAGTATTATAGGTGTGCATCACCATGTCTGGCTTTTTGTTTGTTTTTTGAGACGGGGTCTCACTATGTAGTTCTGGCTGGCCTAGACCTCACTATGTAGCGCAGGCTGGCCTCAAACTCTCGGTGATCTTCCTGCCTCGGCCACCTAACAGCTAGCATTACAGGCGTGAGCCATCACATCTGGCTGTCTTTCAGCACCTTTACTTCCTTTCTTCATTTCCTTTTTTTCCCCCTGTGCTAGGGTCTCACACAGGGAGAATGTTAGGCCAGCATTCCCCCACTGAGACACATTCCCAGCTCCTGCCTATTCCTTGACCCGCACGTTCAGACTCTAGATTTTACCCCCGGGATATTCTATGTATTCTCACATTCAAGCAAGCAGATGCCACCTGTGGCTCATCCAAGGGAAAGGCTGCTTGTCTTCAGGTTATAAAAAGCTGAGGCCTTCAGAACTCTCAAATGCGGAGCCGCTCCGCGAGAGACGCCAGCCTTATTTTGTCCTTGGCTTTGTTTAGCCTGTGGCTGTGTTTCAGCTGCGTATGCTGTGAATGGTAGAGTCTGGAATCTTAAAGACAAAATTCCATAAGAAGCCCAAAGAAAACTGGCGGACAAGGTCATTCTGCCTGCTCTCCTGCCTGTCAGTATTTTTCCGCGTGTCCGTAACAGACAACACTCTCTGATCCGGGACTTTCCGAGTCTTTGTGTGTGCTCTGATTCATGAAGAGTGGTCAGACCATCAGAACAGCCTGGTTCGGAGGACATGAACTGGAATGCGAAGCTCAAGTCTGAGGAACGTGTGCATTCTTGGGTGCGACAGAAATGTGTGCATTTCAGGTTACCTGCCAGCTGCCTGTGTGCCTGCGTTGCGCATCTCCCGGCCACGGCAGACCACAGAAAGGCGCCATAGGCAGAGGGCCGCTAGGATAACACACTGCCAGTCAGAGCAGGAAAGAGACAGCAGTGGAGGGAAGGGAAGAAAGGAGAAAGAAGGTCAGTCTGCTCGGGAGCAAAGGACCGCAATGGACGTAGAGATAACAAACGCCCCACGTTCCTGGGAGCCAGGCAGAAAGGTCCGTTCTCTGGAGCTGGGTTCCCATTGGCCCCCAGAACCAGTCTGAGGACAGATCCCTGCCTGCTGATCCTCCTGCCTTCCTCTCTGCTCTCCACAAGGCCAGGGGCAGAGCTAGGAAAGAGAGGTGATTCCAGCCTGGGGAAAGCAGGAGGGGTGGGGGAGAAGACCGGTGCAGGGGTGAGGGAGAAACAAACAAAGGAAATGCAGATGCAGAGCAGAGCGAGGCAGGACCTAGAATAGAGCCCCGCTCATGTTTTCCATGAACCTCAGACAGATGGGGAACATGAACTCGGGCCAATCCTTTGGCAGCGAGAGCAATGACCTCAGTGTGCTGGCCCGGCCGGGCCTGTGGGAAAGGGAACCTCCCCGGGGCGCCCAGACCTGGGAAGGGCCTGTCCGGGAAAGGCCGGCTGGCCCACCGCACTTGGGGGGCCTTGAGGGCGGCCACTGTGGCCGGCTGGGTGGCTTCGGGCGCCCTGTCTGCCCTCCTGGCCCTCGGGGCAATCTTGTGCTGGCAATCGCTGCGGCCCGTCTTCTGGTGCAGCTCCTGCTTGTTTGCACAGCACAAGGCCTGAAGGGCCTGCGAGGTATTTTTCTCAGGGTGATTCGGTCAGCTCTGTTCTGTCACAGTATTTATCACTTCACTGAATCAAGTCAGACTTAGCTCCAGTGCCCAGAACTGAGTGAATGCTCTCTAGAGCTGCGAGCCTGTTTGCTGAGGTTCCCCGGAGTCAGAAGGCCTCTCTGGGCAGCGGCCCGCACCCCCATCCACGAGCCCGAGCTCCAGCAGGTGGAGGACGCGTGTCGCAGCCAGGGAGCGCCCTCCTGGGGACTGACTGGCGATCGATTAATAAAGACCATCTCCCTGTGCGGTAGCCAGGACAAGAGGTTTTAGAAGAGTTCTGTGGAAGTCTGAGAATCGTAGTTGAGGCTTCCCGGTTCATTGTCATAACCAGGCAGAAATTTAAAAAAAAAAAAAGAAAACAATAAAAACACAAGAAACGGTTAAGCACTTTATAAAAGAAGAAAGAAACGTCCTGGGGGAAACGAGCGCAAGGCGAAGGGCGCAGAGCGGGCCTGGCGAGCTGGCTGTCTTTGTCTGGGTTTTGCCTGTAAAGAATACAACCATTAGTTGAAAGCCTCCGGGCAAATGTACAGAAATTTGACTATGGTCTGATCCAACTAAATTAAATCCAGGGGCTAAACACAAAAAATGCCCATAAAAGGAAGGGAAGACGGAGGGTGAGACGGGGCGGGAGGCGGGAGCGGGCCCTGGTGAGCGGCGAAGCCATGAAGCGGTGAAGGCCAAAGGCGAGGAGAGACTTGACACCCGCAGACGTCTGTCCTCAGGACATTCGGGACAGTCTCGTCCATCAGAGTCCAACGTTGATGTCGTCTCCTCCCCAGCGCCTCTCCTCACCCCCTCTGCTTTGGAAGAGCCCGTCGTTCCCTCTCCTGAGTTGACTCATCAGTTTTATAACCCCGTCACCGTCCCTGTGCAGCGGTTACGGGGTTTATCTCACTCTCTGCTAGGCTGTGAATTCCCCGGTGGGGGAGGCTGAGCTGTGTTAATTCCTCGCTGACATAATGGTTTAGCACAGAAGAGCTCAGACAGTGCGCTCAGCTGAAGCGAGAGGCAGACTTGGAACAGACCTTCCCATTTCTCACATACAAACTCAGAACCATAGTCAGATGGAAAAGGCAGAGGATAAAGTTTTAGGGAAGCAATTTGAGAAGCTGAATCTATGTACAAGAGTAGAGAGGGGACCGGCAATATAGCTCAGTGGCATAAGCGCCTGCCTGGCAAGCTCAAGGTCCTGAGTTCGATTCCCAGTACCAAAAATAATAAAATAAAATAAAGAATAGAGAGGAAAAGGGCCAACTCAAAGTGGAGGTATTGGAGAACAGCCATGCTAGAAGCTGGGGATCTGGAAAGGAAAGCATGGAATTTGTATCTGCAGTACTGGTGCTTCCAGCTCATGACTTTCTTGGTGTGCGTTTTCTGATGCCCTGATTTCCTGATGATAACTTGCAGTCACTCCCATACTTCCTTGTGCAAGTCTAAAATGTTTGATCCAGATTCAGGATTACACTGAAGTTCCTGAAATAGAATCTTCAACAATAACAAAAAACCTAAATAGCTCTGATAGGACTGGGCGTGGTGGCACACGCCTATAATCCCAGCATCCGGGAGGCTGAGGTAAGAGGATCATTGTGAGTTCGAGGCCAGCCTGGGCTACAAAGTGAGCTCAAGGCCAGCCTGAACTGCATAGCGAGACCCTGTCTCTAAAAGACAAAATGTAAATAAATAAATAGCTCTGATAAACTGGCTAAAAACAGGACAAAGAGCTGGGCATGTATACATACACCTGTAATCACAGCACTCAGGAGGCAGAGGCAGGAGGACTGCTGTGAGTTTGAGACCAGCTTGGGCTCAAAAACAGAACAAAACAAAACAACTCTTGTGTTGGATATGATGGCACATGCCGTTAATCCCAGCTACTCAGGAGGCTGAGACAGGAACATCACAAGTTTGAAGCAAACCTAAACAACTTGGTGAGGCCCTTCCTCTAAATTAAAAGTGAAAGGGGTTGAGGTGTAGCTCAGTAGAACAGAACCTCTTAATTCAATCCTCAGTATTCTGGCTGACTTGTTGGCACCGAGCTGCTGTTTATTCTGTGGAGAAGCCCTGGTGATCAAGAACTGATGCCTTAGCCAGGAGCCCAGAGGCCAGGCCCACCCAAGCCAGTGGAATGAGTTTGGGAAGTGGCTGTCCTACCAGTCAGGCCTCGGGACATCTGAAGCCCACCAGCACCTGATGACAGCATGCGGGTCCATGCCCAGGCTGCACAGGGGTTCCCAACCCACAGAGATATGGGAAAAATAAATGTTTATGGCTAAGATGCTAAGATTTGGGGTAAATAGATAGCATGTTGTATAACCATAGCACATAATTTC